GTTATAATTAGGCTGCAAATCATTACCTCCTTTGAGTCAAGCAGGTCTGAAATTATGACTCATCCTAGGAGATAAGAGAACTTCAAGATATTTCCAAGATTGCCAAATTAACAGGTGGCAGAATGAGGGCCTGAACAAAGTTTCTTGTGGCTCTCAGTTCCGCTAACCATGTAACTCTTGCTTCGCTGATAAGCAACTGTCCGTTGTTTCTTTACTTCCTCACAAAATTTCCTGAACTATCACCAGACTCAGTGTTGAGACAAATGCTTTGGATTTTTTGAGGATGACACTACACAGAATCCCGTCTGGCTTTCTCATTTCAAACTGCACCTATGGCAAACAAGACGAAGGAAGCTGGCTATTCAACTCCTGATTCATTCTGTTTTCATATCCTTTTTTAGCTTCTTAGAACAATGCATTCATTTTTGGTATGCTATCACCAGGTGGCAGGAAGATACCATAGAAAAATTAGGCTAAGGTAAAAGGCATGCATTCTCTCTGAGTTTCAGGAGTGATTTTTTTTTTCAGAGTGATTCTTAACTCCAGCCACCTACAATGTCACCCACAATATACAATCAGAGATTTTGACACTTTAATTAAAAGATTCATTAAAATAGTTAACTTTTTTTTTAAAGGCAAAGTCAAAACGTCAGTAAACTTTAAAGTATAAACTTTAAATAAAGCCCTTTCACAGCCTTTTAAAAATACGTGTATCTTCCATATGTATTGAATTTTCCTAGCTGGGCGCAGTGGCTCATGCCTGTAATCCCAGCACTTTGGGAAGCTAAGGTGGGTGGATCACCTGAGGTCAGGAGTTCAAGGCCAGCCTGGCCAACATGGTGAAACCCTATCTCTACTAAAAATACAAAAATTAGCTGGGTGTGGTGGTGCATGCTTGTAATCCCAGCTACTTGGGAGGCTGAGGCAGGAGAATTGCTTGAACCCAGGACAGGGAGGTTTAAGTGAGCCAAGATTGCCCTAATGCACTCCAGCCTGGGCGACAGAGTGAGACTCTGTCTCAAAACAAAACAAAAAACAAATAAACAAAAACAAAAAACTTCCTGTAACTGTTCACTTTAATTACATTGAAAACATAGGTGCTGATTAGGATATTAATCTTTATAATATATTCACCCTGATTGAACTTGCTGTCAAAACACCTAGAGTAGTTTATTTTCAAATGGTTTCAAGCTTTAAAACCCGTAATAATTCCTTGAAACGTCATCTCTTTTCACTTAATCCTCTGAGTCTCTCTTGGCTGTTCTGGGCCAGTTAAAGGCCCCTCTCATTTTCCAGCCTGGGGTTCCATTCTCTACTGCCTCATTCCCTGGAGAATGTCCTGAGTCAAAGTCCACTCTTTTCACTTGCCCATGTGTGTTGTTTGCTGGAAGCCAGAAAAACCTTACTGTTCTCCACCTGCAGGAGGTTATTTCCCCTGCAGTTATCATGGTCCTGGGAGTAGAGGTGAACACCCCCGTTGTCTTGGATGGCTTACCTACACATCTGCATTCATTTCTCTTAAATAGTAGCCTCTTTGTAGGTTATCTTAGCAACATGTACTAAGTGGGTTTTTCAGAAATTTGAAAGAATATTAAAGAAACAACATCCCTCATAATAAAGCAAATAAAAAAATGAAATGGTGTAGTAAGGGCGAAGAGTAACTGTCATTCTTGAGTTCAGAAACAGACTAAATGGTGAATTTTAGTTGAGATCCACATTCAGAAGTGAACCCTAGAGACTGTCCCATACAGATTTAATTATAAATGTTATCTCTAACTTCAGATAAGCAAGCTAAACCACCTGTCACGTGGGAACTGGTGTTATTATCTGAGGCGCACAGAGGGTTCGAGCTAAGTGGGGCACTGAAGCCAGACCACCTGGGACTCGACCCGAGCTCCACCGTCTACCTGGCTAACTTCTCTGTGCCCTGGTCTCCTCATCTGTAAAACAGTACTACTAAATTGCACCTACTAAGTAAGTCCATTAAACCAATTACAGCAGAGCTTGGCAAACACACTTTAAATCACTCGGCAGATGATACTGATTATTATTATTGCTTGTCCTTTCTCCACTGTTCTAACTTACTACTCCCAAGTTTCAAAACCTGAAAAGTGCAGCTGCTTTATTCGCCTAATTGAATCTGAAGGTAATTTCACCAAATGATATTTCAGCTGCCTGGACTGGCACACTCCCACAGTTTTTCCCAGCGTGGCAGGACTGACGGCATTCATTTGTGGCAAGGTCTGTTCACAGTTTGTGGAGGGTCATGCTGCTTGTTACAGGGTCATCTGTTACATAAGAAACTTAGCACCCAGATTTCTTTTGTAAAGGAAACAGTGCATTTGCAGAGATCTCAAAAACTGTGTGATTTCACTGTGTCAGCAGATGCAATTTTACAGAGGTTTGAAGCCCGGGCTGGGTTTCAGAAGATACTGTGAGAATGCATGGCCTCCCATTCTAATCCATGGGCTGGGTGCAACACATGTGTACTCAAGTGTGTGGCAGGTGCCAGGACTGTGCAGGACACTAAATGGCAAGGTTAAGTGTGTGCCCAGAGGGGTAGGGGGGTGTTAAAGGAGGTATGCAGATTAGAGCTGTGGGAGTATACCTCTGTATCATCAGCCGCAATGAGAACAGAGCATCACAGACAACCGAACTCCTAGCCTGCTCTTTCTTCAACGCACCTTCCATGGAGCCGCAGTGAACAGGAAAGATGGCCTGGATGCTGTCCCAGCTCTTCCCTTTCCCTTGCAAGCTCCTTGGCAGACGTGCTAATGAGTGTAATGAGTGGGAAAGCATTCAAGTGCACCCAGCAGGCAAAGAAATGGAAGCAAGGATTTAGAGAATTCATTGCAATCACTCGCATTTTTATATCCAGGTACATGCTGCTTTCAGAAAGGAAAAAAAGTATGGCCATTTTCACATCTTCCTCATGACACAGATTGCAATTTCACAGATGTTTTACATGAATGCTTTGAAATTTAAGAAGCCGAGGAAAAAGGTCACTGACTGCTTTAAGGGTCTGCTAAAAACAATAAGCCCTCTGACCCCTAGAAAACCGTATATGCGCATATATACAGACACTACTACAAAGAAGTCATCTGTGACCCCTAGAAGGCCGTATACGCGCATATATATAAACACTACTACAAAGAAGTCATCAGTGACCCCTAGAAGGCCGTATACGCGCATATATAT